GGCTAGGTAAGAAGATGATCAATTTGGTAGTGTTTTCAGAAGAAAGCCCAAATAACAATGGCTTAAACAAGTTGGGGTAATCCTCAGGATTCAGGGGCTCAAGGATATCAAGGCTGCAGTCTTTGCTGTTTTTTTGGCCTTTTCCTCATGGTGGCAAGATGGCTGCTGCAGCATTAGCTACTGGGTTGGCAGAAAGAGAAAACAACAAAGAAAATGTGATGGCACCTCTATTGGGAAAGCAAAACTTTTTCAGTAATCCCCAGAAAAATCTCTGTTCACTCTGGTTAGAACTACACCACATGGTCACCTTTAGCTTTAAGAAAGGTTAGAAAATGTTTATCTAGCTGCCCCAAATAAAATCAGAGTTATATCAACACAGAAAAAAAGAGAATATATATTAGGTAGCCAGCTACTATCTGCCACAGATATCTCTCCAAGCTAATAAACTGGTCACCTGGGAACCCGGCATGGTAGTTGCGGTGGAGAGCCATTGTTACATAATGAAACATAGTTAATTCTGCATTTTATGGTTGTCTATATTTACCTGAGGTAATCCCAGTTGGTTTTTATTTTCCGGAAGCACCATTACGCACAGCACTCTTTCCAACAAGAGGCTATGAGTTGTCTGGATTTATTGTTTATGTGCATGCACTTTTACGTAGGACTGTATTTCTAAGCATTTTCTAAAATATAATTTAGTGGTCTAAAGGTAATGTGCACCTCACACTGTGAATCACCTCCTTTTCACAGAACGTCGTTGGCACTAGCCTTGCTGTAGGGTTAATGAATACTGTTGTTAGAACCATGTGCTTCAGTATAGAATGTCTCCACATCACTGAAGTGAAAGAGTGTATTCAGAAACGGCCCCTCAGGAAATGAAGACATTTCTTGTTGATTTGTTTCCTGTTAAAGAAGTCCTACAATTCAGCAGAGTAAGAAGTGAAAATCATTGGATATAAACTTTTGGTAGCAGGAACACATGCTGAGGACTAGTAGGACTTAAATGCAGGAACTTAGGTGTTAGAAGACAGGATGTTTCACATCTTGTACACTTGTTTCATTCTGAAAAAAGACTGTGATGCCTTTCCAGAGAAAAGTACATATTTTTTATAATCCCAGGAAGAATGGGTGAAGACCAAAGGAAAGAATGAAGAAGGAAAGTAACATTTTTAAAGTGTCAGCTATGTTCAGGGAACTGTGCCTGGGGCCTTACATATATTAACTCACTAAATCCAAAGAAGAATCCTAGGAGCAGGTATTTATATTCCAATTTTATAGATAGGAAGCTAGAAATTTAGAGAGATTAAGTGAATTGCTGGAAATCACATAGCTAGTGAGTTGGAAAGTTGGCGTTTGCTAACCCGAGATATTATCCTTTTTTTTCCACTCTGCCCTGTATAATTGGTAAAATATCCCTTAAAACGCTACAAATAGCTCTTAGTCTGCAAAATGTCCTAGATACACCCAAATCTACCAGTCCTAAAATTTACTTCCCAAATCTAAGAGTTTCTATTTAATTTCATTTCACTTTGTTCCAGTCTATAAGAGAGTAATCAGAATGTCTCCAATCAGCTCCCCTAGGGATTAAATACACAGGAATGGGAAGAAGACATGGCTGTCATCAAATCTCTCCAGATCTCCTCTTTTATCTACTTTAGTCCCACGGCAACTTCTTTCAGGCCCAGGACATGGGAACCAGTTCATAGACATATTGCAATAGATTAGCTATTAGGATGGCAAGCATTTGTAATGTGAATGTACCTACCTAAGGTGAATTAGTTATATAGTGTAGATCACAAGCTTAGTGTGCTCCAATCCCAGCAGGGGCCCAAAAATATGAGTGTGCATTTGGGTGTGTATGTGTTTTACTTTAATGGATAAATACACGGACTAAATGAAAATGCATTGAGCAGCAAGTGAAACTTTGGATTCCTGCGGCTTCTGCCCTTTCAGAGGGAGTTCCTCTGACTGGTCAATCTGTAGATAAGTCAGGATTAAGGTTAGGGTTAGGGCCTTCCCTGTATCTTTTTCTCAATTTTTTCTGTTTCACTCCACAACTGTCAGAGGCCTCACTTCGGGAATGGAGGTGAAGGAGGTCCCTCTCTGAAGTCTAGATCTGGCTCATTATCCATCCTCACTCCCAGACTTGGTTCGAGTGCCATGGAGAATGTAGTTTGAAGCTGGTATGCCTCAATTCTCCTCCTCTGAGCACCCCACACAACAGTTGGGAGAATGCTTCATTTAATTATTGTATCTTGATAACTGATAGACCCACCTATCATTTCATTTCCAAATTAGAATTGCCATTAGCTATAGTGAATGGTATTTTCAGCTGTTCCCTTTTGTTTACCCATGATTAATCCATCTGCTTAATGAGTAAAGTGCTAATGATAGGCACAAGTAGGTAGATTCAGGTTGGCTTGATTTTGTCAGACTATAAAATAGATATCTCCTTTATTTCAAGAAGTGTAATGAGGCAATAGGTCTATGCTGCCTCCTCATTTCCCGTCCTCTGCACCACACAACTTAGCTCACCTGTTTTATAGCAAAGTGGAAGTTCAAGGCCAGCTTCATGGGTATGTGATCTGTGCAGTCCCACCAGCTACCACTCTTAGAAGGGCCCCACACTTGGTTTAATGCTCTGCAGTTGCCATTATGAAACTCTTAATAATTTCCTAACAAGGGGTGCCACATTTTTATTTTGCACTGACGGGGCTTTGCAAATTCTGTAGCTAGTCCTGCCTAGACTGTCTGCTTTCAAATAACCAAAAGCAAATGGCTAAAGGGAGCAAGAATAGAAGGTAGCAATTTTATAGGCCTAGAGATTTCTATGCTATGATCAGATGCAGACACAAGAGAAACAATTCGTGAGAGTTGAGCAGGGAGGCAGGTTGTGGCAGTAGTTTCCAACTTTCAAATCACATCTCTGCACCAGGCTTAATTATAGGGTTTATAATGTGAATTCCGTGAATAAGAGATAGACTTGTAGTCATGTCATTTCAAAAGTGCTTTCTAAAGTCAAACACTGATACTTTTTGGAGCGATTGCTTCATTATTTCTGCTCCCCCCTAAGCTCTAAGCTCAACTAATCACAGGTTGATAGTAAATTGCTTATGCAAGAGCCAGAGTAACAGGAGATATGGCTCCCTACTATCCCAGTGTGAAATGATCTCTCCTTTCTCCCAAACATCCTTCCCATCTGTTTGCTGTATAGCTAATAACGCAGCAAACTAACAGCCAGGTGCTGAAATTTTTATTTGCCTTAAAATATCAATACCAGTCTTTCTTGCTGTTGCCATTTTTTAAGAAACATACTCTATGACATGTCCAATTTGGGGATGCATAATTTTCACCTGCAGGTATCTCTTCCTCTCTCACTTAAGTCATACTACCTTTTCACTTGATTGTTGGCGGAATCCTGACAATCCATATTTCCTGAATCGATCCCCTGCTGGTTGATAGCCTTTCCACTCTCCTACTTCAATCCCTCACCATTCCTTGTTTGGGTGATCACTGTAATTGATCTGTAACTGGTGTCAGGTTAGTCTCCATCTGATATGTACTCTTCACTGAAACCAGGGTAGTCCTAAAATGCAAATGAGAGAGGTGAGCAGGTATGGAGAGAGAAATCTGGGCAAGTATGCTAATTAGCAAGATTGATTTTGTCACCTTCTTGCTTTATTCAATGTAATGCTTCCTTTCTCCTTCAGAATAAGGTCCATTCCCCTCATGACACAAAGTTTCTTCAGACAGGCATTGCACGTGCCTTGTCTTCTTCCCCAGTCTCTTCTCTCATCACTTTCCCCTGAACACCCTCGACTCTAGCGGTTCCAGGAAGAGGCTGTGTTTTGTCTGACCTAGAGACTGTGCTTGCATTGTCTTCTCTTTAAAGCTCTTGATTTTGTGTTCATCAGCTGGATCACTTCTACTTGCTTTTCAAGATGCAGATGAAATGCTACCTTCTCTCTAACACTCCTCACTCCCTGGATAGCCAGGTATCCCTGTTTTGTGCTAACAGAGAAAACTGTTAGCAACTCTATCATAAGACTTATCGCTTGGTATTTTGGTTGTTAACTTATTTGACTTCTGCCACCAGGTTTCACCACCTTGGGAAAGAGCCTATGCTTTTTTTTATACACTTGATGTTCATACTCTGATGAGCGAATGAATAAATGAATAAGTGAGTTAATGGAATGAACCAAAAGGGGATTTCTTTATGAGAGTTTCTAGAATGTCAAGAGTAAGAACTTGCGTATTCTTTCAACAGACAGTTTTAATTTTGCAGTTCACCATGTTTGGTGTTTCTTAGAGAGACTCAAATGAAAATCTTTCGGAGCCAAGTCAACAATATTTTATTGTAGATCGAAGTCACTACTGAATTATGAGATTTCAGCATGGAAAAGGAAATAGACTGCTGTACTTAAAACCAACTCTACAAAGTATAAGTTCTAAATTTATAGACCAATCATACATTTTGGGCTTTGAGGGGTGTTTCCCACTGGTTGGGTAGACTGAGGGAATTGTGCAGCTTCCTTGGAATGAATGGAGCATATTGGTGTGAAAGGCAGAATGAGAGGCTATTTCTCCATTTCTGTCTTTCACAAGGCTGAACACCTTGGTTTGGAGTTTCTTTGAGAAGACAAAAGAGAACATGGACAGGAGGATGAAGAGAATAAGTGTTTTTTGTTTGTTTGTTTGTTTGTTTGTTTGTTTGAGATGGAGTCTCGCTCTGCTGCCCAGGCTGGAGTGCAGTGGCACGATCTCGGCTCACTGCAAGCTCTGCCTCCCGGGTTCACGCCATTCTCCTGCCTCAGCCTCCTGAGTAGCTGGGACTACAGGTGCCCGCCACCACACCTGGCTTAGTTTTTGTATTTTTAGTAGAGATGGGGTTTCACCATGTTAGCCAGGATGGTCTCGATCTCCTGACCTTGTGATCCACCTGCCTCAGCCTCCCAAAGTGCTGGGATTACAGGCGTGAGCCACCACACCTCGTCAAGTGGATAAATGTTCAGTCAAGTTTAAATAAAACTGTCTAGTACCCCAAAGAAGTGAAAATATTTGAGGCCCATTAAAATGAAGTATAATGTCATCTGGATATTTCTCTATGCTTATTTCTATCCACAGAAAGTATTTTGAGCTCTGTCATCTAAAGCAAAGATAGTAAATACATGGCCCAGGATAAGCCCAGGACAAATTCCAGTCCTCAATCACAGTATGTTTTCGTGCTGATCCTGGATTGTGCCTCAGAATCATTCTCAGTACCGTGTTCCGGGTAGCTCCTCCCAACAGGTAAGAGTTGCCAAGTGATGTGAAATCAACTTGCTATTTTTGCTCTAATGAGAATGTAAACCTGATCTTTCCATTGGTTGAGTTTTTCTAATTTTGGTTCCACTCCTTAATTCCATGATTATGGCTGGTGGGGTGGGGCACATGAGGATTTATAGATCCCATTCGTAGTTCCAAAATCTGTATTAGTGTTCTCCAGAGAAACAGAACCAATAGAATGTGTGTATGCGCACACACACACACACACACACACACACACACACACACAGAGAGAGAAAGAGAGAGAGAGAGAGAGAGATTTCAAGTAATTGGCTTGCATGACTATGGGGCTGGCAAGTCTGAAATCCAGAGAGCAGGTTGACAGGCTAGAAACACAGGAAAGAATTGATATTGCAGTCTCAAATCTGAAAGCTGTACTGCATGGAGGCAGAATTCCTTTTTCCTCAGGGGGCCTCTGTCTTTTCTTTTAGGTCCTTCAACTGATTGGGTGAGGCCCACCCATATTATAGCAGTGAATCGGTTTTACTCAAAGTCTACTGACTTAAATGTTAAACATATTTCTTATAGGTGAAATATCTTAAAAAATAACTGTACAGCAACACAACATTTAGGCTGATGTTTAACCAAACCATAACCTAGCCAAGTTGACATTTATTAAATATAACAAACTCTATCAGCAAAAAGAATTATAGCCATGTCATAGAAAGAGTTTATATATATAATTCCTTTCCTTCTTTCCTTTAATTTTTTCCTCCTTTCTTTCTTCTTTCCTTTCTTCTGCCTCCCTTCCTTTCTTCTTCCTTCTTTTCTTTCTTTCTTTTTTTCTTCCTTCCTTCTTTCCTTCTACTGTTTCCTATTTACCATGTATTATTCTAGGAATTGTGGATACAATGGAGTATTCCACAACTCCAGGGAGCACCATTTACAGAGACTAAAACTCCAGTTGTGTTCTTTGGATTTGATCAACAGTATGGCCCTGTATGCAAAGCAAAAATTTCAGAAAAAATAAATATTACAAACCTTCTTTTGTTATAAACAAAGTGGCAGGGCATTCGTTTAGTGAAGCAAACCTGAATACCTTCTGGGTGAAGGGCTTTCTAGAAGACTTTCCCTCATTATTCAAGATCCCTTTCTTCGCTGCCTACTTTCCTCCTTTTCGAATCACCAAATCATTGCTTTTGTGTCACTAGAGCCAGAATATACACAGGCTTCCTAGACATGCCATCTCATAGAATTTTTTTCTGTTCAATCTTTTTTGCTGATGTAAACAGGCATAATAAATACATTAAGAAATGTTTTCATTGTGGTAAATTACACATAATATTTCTCATTTTAATTATTTTTAAGTGGTATAGTTCAGTGGTATATTAAGTACATTCATAGTGTGCAACCATCACCACCATCCCTCTCCAGAATGTTTTTCATCTTGCAAAACTGAAATTCTATACCCATTAAAGAGTAATTTCCCATTCTCCCCTCTCTTTCGTCTCTGGCAACCATCATTCTACTTCCTGGCTGCATAAATTTGACTACTCTAGGTATCTCATATAGGTGGAATCATATACTATTTGTCTTTTTGTGCTGATTTATTTTACTTAGCATAATGTCCTCCAGGTTCATCTGTATTGTAGCAGATGTCAGATTTTTATTCCTTTTTAAGGTTGCATAGTATTCCATTGTATGGATATGCCACATTTTGTTTAGTCACTCATCTGTTGATGGACATTTGGGTTTTTTCTACCTTTTGGCTATTGTGAATATTGCTGCTATGAACATGGGTGTACAAATATCTCTTTAAGTTTCTGCTTTCAATTCTTTTGGGTATATACCCAGATGTGGAATTGTTGGATCACATGGTAACCCTATTTTTAATGTAATGAATAATTTTAAAGCCCCTGACTTATATTCTCTGGTCGGTTGAATCTTGTTCATCATTTACACTTGCAAGCAAGGGGGTATGGTGATAACTCTGGTGGGTTATGGGGAGAAAAAGAGCATAGAGTTTCAGGAGGCAGACAGTGAGAGGTGTGTGCTCTACCCCTTTGCTCCAACCTCAGTCCATGACACAGTCTTAGGGTGAGGGCTGCATTGGAAAGACTGAAGGGGAGGCAAAAGCTGAGAGGAGTTTGTCTCAGTTTCCATTTGAGATTCACCTCAGAGGGTGGTCTCAACACCACTTTGGCAGCTATATTATAGTAAAACTTATGGATGCAAAAAATAACTAATGGCACTGATGGGTGAATTTGGGCAACAGGGAGGCATACTTTTTAGAGGTGGGCTTTAAGTGGTCCTGTGTCTGCTGGGCAGACTTCTAGTACAAGAGAGGGAGGCCACTACCACTGCAGGGTGACTGAGAATAGGTACATGATCATGGCAGGGAGATCCACCCCAAGGGAAAACAGAGCTCAAGTTTACTGACCACAGATGTTCACGTAGCAAGCAGACAAATGGCTCAACAGGCAGACAAAGAATACAACCTTTGATGGGACAGAGAGGAGAAAGGGCATGGAGTATGGCTGCAAAAGACTGAAGATTTATCTGACAGAGACAGTTGTACACTGATTTGCCATTAATGGGACCAGTTAAATTTCCCTGCTACCCTGGGAGACAGCGTATGAGGAAGGTCACAGTGGTTGTAAGACTGTAGACTATTATATAGATTCTAGTATATAGAATGGTAAGGAAACAACCTTTTTCTAGGCAAATCTGAGTTGTAGTGTGATCAAATCATAATGCTGACAAAACTATATGTAGATTTCCTCATTTACAGATGAACTATGAGGTTGGAGGACTGAAGGAAAGTGAACAAACTAAACAGATCAAATTAAGATGCAACCATTTCTAGAATAACCTCATAACTAGCTCAAGATTCTTTTTTATTTAGTTAAAAAGACCCGTTCTAAGATATTTTTTCCTTTTCTTGTACAAAGTAGTTTTTTTGTGGCTGCTCTGGAAGATCTCATTACTGTGATTATTTAGAAGAAATGAGTCTTTTCTAAAGAGGGTAGACATATAAATTCCTGGGTTTTGCCCACGGCCACAGGCTATCATTGAGGAAAAAACTGTAGAGTGGAGGTGGTCACCTCTATGAATCACGATGGGTAGAGTTATCCTGACTTGGTGGGAACACTTTAAGAGTTATTGAGCAGGCTCAAGAAATGAGCTCAGGAGGAGGCGAATGAAATGGAATGGAAAATGACCTCCAAAAGAGGTGAGAAAAAGACTTCCCTACATTCTGTGGTACATGAATGATCAAAGACTTCCTTTTTTCCTCTGTTCAGATAACAAGCATAGGCTACAGCCTTTATAACCAGAATGTATTATTTTTTAAAAAATTTTAATTTTTTAAATAAGAATGGTCTATATGTAAGATATACAACGTGATGTTTTGCTATACATATGCATAGTGAACTGAATACTACAGTCAAGCTAAATAACATATCCATCTCTTCACATAGTTACCATTTGTGTGTGTGTGTGTGTGTGTGTGTGTGTGTGTGGTGAGAACACTCTTCTTAGCACAGATCTACTCTTAGAAAATTTCCAGTATATAATACAGCATTATTAACTACAGTTCCCATGCTATACATCATATCCCTAGAACTTATATTTTAACATGTCAAGAAATGTAAAGAACAGTACTAATGCCCCTTCATTTTAATCAGTGTTTCTCAGGACAAAGGAAAGATTTGTTTAACAGTCTACCTTTGGTGAAGTTGAGTTGGTGATACGGAACTCCTAAGAGTAGAGATTCTCTACTGCTTCATATCCTCATTAAATTATTATGAAGTAGGAGGAATTTCTCCAAAAAAAGCCACTTTCAGTTATATTCTGCCTGTGATGCATTCAGCTCCAAATCAGGCTTATCAGCTGTGATACTACTCTCAGCAAGGGCCATGCTCATGATGTGAGTCTCTAGCAAGGGATACAGTATTTATTCACTCAGCAAATATTTCTTGAATACCTACTATGTTTCAGGTACTTTAAAAAATACTCGAGTATATTTATGACTCCTTCTCCCTTTCTTCAGATACTTTCCCAATACAACAGTCTCTTCTGCTTCACTTGTGAAAATTGAAATAACATGTAATAACTAAGAAAATGATGACAAATCTGTTGCCCAAGGCTCATATCTATAGGAAAGACCTCCCTAACCTTCAGAAAGTCATATCAGCATGCCATTAACCTAAAGGAAGGAAACCTTTTCTGACATTTTCCCCTGAATTTAGCATTTGTAGTTAAAATGTGGGGTGTGTGTGTGCTTGCATGTGAGTTGGCAGTGGAGAAGGGGTCATATGAGTGTATTTGAACCATGCTGAAAGCTGTAATCTTAATTTAGCAAAAGAGAAGTTTATGGAATGAGATAGAATGACTAGGACAAAGAAGATATGTCTTGAAAATGTGATTCAAACTCATAGATTTCCTATGCACTGTTAGACAGTCTATATTTTTATCTCATATATTACTTTGAGAAAAAAAGGTGAATCTATTTCACAATGCAGTGTCTTCCCAGTTTACCTTAAATGCACTCAAAATAAACTCTGCCCATTATATCATTTATATCCTGCCAAAATGATAATAACTTTACTGCGTGTTCTAACTACACTGTTCACTATTATAAATAATATTGTACCAAACATCCTTATACACAGATATTTGCATACTTTTCTGGTTATCTTCTTAGAATAGATTTTTATAAGTAGAATTCCTGGATGAAGCTTATGTATATTAAATTGTATTAATTTGAAAAATGTTTCCCTTTATTGTTAGGCCAAATTATACTTCCACCTACAATATGTAAGAAAACTCATTTCCTACTGCTTGCATCAGCCTGATGAGTAATTTTTTAAAAAAACTTTATCAGTTGAATTTGCATTTCTTTAATCACTATAGAAGGTAACATCTTCATGTATTTATTGATGGTTAGTATTTTCACTTTTATAAATTGCTTTCTTAAAAAATTGTTTATTTTTCTGTTGGGTTTATAGCATCATCTTTAAAAT